CTCACCATACGAAACACAGCAGTGTAAAGCTGCCATTTTACTCTGGTATTCTGTGAGAGCGTGGTCCTTCCCCGGTCGAGCTGACCCATTCGTGCTACAACTATACTACTAAATAGCTGCAGCATGGCTATACTACGTAAAAACTGAAAAGAGAGTGGATAGGATTCGGAAATCTCTGTGCTAGCGTATAGTCAACCACTTTAAGTGAGAGCGAAATTCTTAAACGTGATCATATTTGCGCTGGCTAAAAGTGAATCATATACAGTTGTGTATATGATTTACCTTTCAACCTGTTAAAAAGCCCCCGAGAAATATTTAGAATTTCAGTATTTAGTTAGACAAACATCGGCATAGTCAAATAATGGAAGAATTAGATATTGGACAAGAAGACGTTTAGTTGAAGGAGGCAGAAATAATTTAAGGCGATAGAAGGAACGAAGTATGCCTGTCACTTTACGACAAACCTCTGACACCTGTGATATCCAACTAAGAGACGGGTCAATAATTAAACCCAGATCCTTGACACTAGTTCTAAGGTGTATTACGCAGGTTTCATAGTGAATGGATGGTAGTTCAGATATGTTAAGTTGTGACACCAATCGACGACTACCAATGACGGTAGCCTGGCATTTACTGGGATTTACCGCTATACTAAAGCGCTGTGACCAGTGTGATATACGTTGTAAGTCATGATTAATAGCTGCGATGTTGGTATCAATTTAGCCAAGAACGCTAGTATAACTTTAGATCATCAGCATAGAGGTGGTAAGAACATCGATGGTGGGTAGTTAGAAGATTGATAAACACCGAAAATGTGAGAGGAGAAAGAATGCCGACTTACGGTACACCTAGAGACAGATCACACCAGTCGCAAAAATCTTGACCAAACCGAACAGCGTGCTGGCAACCGCGAAGATAAGAGTAAAGCCAGTTCAGTGCTGATGAGGAGAATTTTAGTCGAGAAAGTAATTCAAGGAGTAAGTCGTGATCGACACATTTGAATGCGTTTGAAAAGTTAATAAGGATAAGAACAGTCAATCATGACCTCTCCATGCCATCTCTAAAGTCTTCTGTAACTTGAAGTAATGCTGTAGTTGTACCGTGTCCCGGTCGGAAGCCAGACTGATATATATTAAGTAAATTGCATTTTGAAATGAAAGAGGTGACTTGTTTATGTACCAATGACTCAAGTGCTTTGGAAAGAAATGGCAGTATAAGAATAGGTCTAAAATGGGAAGGAAGCGATGGATTTGGTACTTCAGCAAGGGGCAATACAAAAGATTTTAGCCATAATTTGGGGAAAACACTAGTAGAATGTGAAAATTTGATGATATGAGTGACAAATGGAGTATGATATTGAGTATAAGAATTATCATAGATCTACTCACCTCATCATAGCCGGTTGCAGAAGATTTAATTGAAAGTATGTAAGCTTTTCTAGTATCCTCATCAGTCACTGAACTGAAGTTGAAAGAAGGACCAGAAAATCGTGTCGAGAAAATGCCATGTTGATCGTGATATTTAAAACATGACCCGCTGAACTAGTGCAAATGATGTCTAGCCATGAATCTTCGGTGTCCACGTTGTGGTGAGTTGGACCATATGGAAGAAAATAGAGATCCGCTGAATCCATGATAGCTTTGAGTATGCGACTCTAAGGGGAAACTTTAGTAAGTTAGTGTTGAAGTCACCCATTATATTATAATATGTTTGTTAATTGTGCTGATGGAGTCGATCACAGATTCAATATGGGAAAAATAATCACTTGAAGGAGGGCAGCAAACATCTCCGCGCAACGATCCTCAAACTCTTAATATCTACTTCTAAAAATAGTTCTCAGTAGATCCTCTATACTCCGATGGTAATATTACAATGATATTATATGCATAATATTCCAATCACAAGTAAATGGCTACGCCGCACTGGCCAGTGCACTCAGAGCGTATAAGTACAAATCCAGGAAGACTGTACAACGTGGAGGAAAGGGAGGGATTTAGCCAGGATTCCGAAATAAGTAGAGCATGGATGTACGGCGAGCAAAATGTGTTAAGCAAATCTGAATAATGGAAGGAATGCTTTGCGCATTTATATGGCATATATATTAGTAGATGCGAATTTCGTTTACTGGTTTTGGCTTAAGTGATGTTAAGAGAAGAACATGCTGAATGAAATGAGTCTTCTTTTGATAACATTTAAACTGTTATTAATAATAATAGAAAAAAATTGGTAATAATAAATATTGTTATATATATATATATATATATATATATATATATATATATATCTTATATATAAAAATTACGTGTCACGTTGTTTGTCCGCGATGACCTCCTAAACTACTGAACTGATTTCAATGAAATGTTTCACAATGTGTGCAGTTTGGTCCAACTTGAGAGATAGAATAGTTTTTATCCCGATAATTTTTTTATTGCAAATTTAAAGATTTTATATATATATATACACCTGCCGGTCTTCTGCCTTAAAAATTATTAATCAAGTTTACATATATTAAAAAAAAGAAGATTATCTATCATAAATATTTTAAACAGTCCAATGAAAAAGCACTGACGGCCTTACTCATATTTCACTTCTTCAATTTAATAAATAATTAAAGTTGCTCTCATCCTCTATAATATAAGGGACAATAGAAAGGGGTATTAATATAGTGATAAATATTAACTTAAGTAAGCGATGAACAATGATTATAAGTAAGGCCGTGATTGATTACCGTGTTGCATATATACAAGACACAAGAGTATATTATATTAATTTAATATAAAACTACCTATATGAATAACTTAAACTCGAAATAATTATGAGAAGATTAAAACGTTACAAATAAAACGTGTGATTATATACTCTTTGGTAACAATTACAGAATATAAGTTAATGACCTCACTATTGCGTCTTTTCTACCGACTTCAAAAGGGAGACGGTACTCAATTCGACTGTTTTTTTTATGTGTGTTACCTCATAACTTTTTACAGTCTTACTTCAAGCAAGACTGGAGGGGTCATCAAAGGAGTTGAGCCTGATGGACCAGAGTTCTGACTACAGTAACTTCAAGAATTTTGTTTGTTCAACATTTACGTTACTGTGGCATCAAATTAATCATCTAATTATTAATGTGGATGCCATTGAAAGTAAACACAGAAAGAAGTTTCTGCTGCTAGGAGGAGTGGTCGAGAATACCAATGAGAATGTCCGTGAATTGGTAGCTTCAATCATCACAAAAAATATTGGTATCAGCAATTGATCTGATCAGTTGCTGCATCGTCTTTGGAGAATATCTAATGCCCGTCCTCGTCCAATTCTCATATTATTTGAAGACACTGCATTACGTCGGGACGTATGGGCTAAGAAAGCTTTGCTTAAGGATAGCCTATATGTGTTGTCAAAACTAAAAATATTTAACGAGAATGAGGCAGTCTTTATTCTTGGAAACTCGCAGGCACTTCGGTATTAGGAATGTGTGGTCCTTGGACGGGGTGATAAATGTCAAGCTTCCGACAGGATTCCGTTCCAAAGTGTTTACAACAAACGATCTAGAGAAGCTGCAACGCAACACAAAGCAGACGTAGAACGTGGTACCCCGCTTCCAGTCTCGGATGTCATCGCCAAAAAAGAAGGATCTAAATCCAGGACTAGAACTAATTTGAAGCGTGCAGTCATTAAGAAATTGTGATTTATCGTAACAGTCTCCTAGTCTGTACATAATTTCCTTGCAATTGATGATCATCAACATTCTTACTGTATTTATAACTTTTCGATTTAATTTTATGATTTTGATTTTAGGTTATGTTTAACTATACATTCACCATACGAAATTTTAAATTGTAAACAAAAATAACATACTGTTTGTGTCAAAGGCTGACGTCAATAACAATTTCATTTCAGTGTTTAGACCATAGGTTAAATAATTTAAAATTAAAAATTTTTTGCAACCGACTTCAATATAAATCATTAATAATAACTCCAAAAATATTGACCTTGATCAAATTTAAATGGGACCACATGTGAAGCACCAGCTTTCAAATAAAAAAAGAATCATCGAAATCGGTTTACCCAAAAAAAGTTATGAGGTAACACGCATAAAAAAAGAAAAAAAAACATAGAGTCGAATTGAGTACCGTCTCCTTTTTAAGTTGGTAGATAACGATTAAGGTCAGAAAGGTGAAAAAGCGTATGAATTAAACAATTAAAGATGTGAAAAATAATTAGCTAATAACTTAGCTAGTTAATTTTTGCATTCTAAACAATGGATATTTTTCCCACGCGCAAAACTAAACTACAACAGATTTCTGCAGGGTAATGACTTATTCTATTAAAATAAAGAAGTAAATTTTTTTAAGAGAACATTCAAAATCGAAACAGCAGTAAGTGAACTACTGCTTTGCGGTAGAATTAAGTAAGAGGATAGTAACTATCCTACGGTCTTCTAGTCACAAAGGAAGGGCTGTCACTTAGAATGATGATTTCTCAATATGATTTCTATATAAATTGTAGGAAATAAAAATAAACACAAACAATATCTTGTGAAATAATGATAAGCACAGTTAATTATGAATCCCAAAGGTAAACTAAAGCATCCAATTTTTTTAGTCTTAAATATGATCAGATTTAGTAGGAACCTTATTTATAATAAAAGCACACATATAGCCGGTTAACTGTTGCTTTAATTTACTAACCCGCTGGAACTGAGGGATACTTCGGCTCATTAAAAGTGGCAATAGGCCGGATATAAGGCTTAAAAAAGCAATTAGTAAAGGGAAAATATTATTTTTTTAAGCGATAGTATTACACTGACAAAAGCAATAAAGGGCAAGGTTAACTAAATGAAGGGATGATTTGATGAAATATTCAAAACATAATTAGATGTGAAATGCATGTAGGTATGCAGATATGTCTCAAATCTTTGTAGCAATCTGTCATGAAAATCTATGCTAAGCAGTGGATTTGTGATGAACTGTAATAACGATGATATTGATAACTAAAGGCACTTACAAGGAGGTTGCTGATATTACATTTAAGTGGCTTAGCACAACACCCTTTGGAAGTCCAGTCGTACCAGATGAATACATGATAAAAGCTGTATCTGTCTGCCCTTCCACTTCGACCCCTTGAAACTCTTCAAATTTCACATTCCTTGATATTATCGAATTCGGCACTGCTGTCGCTAGGTCTTTATAAAGTAAGGCACCATCCAGCCTTTCATCTCCAAATAATATTATATGTTTTAAAAAGTCTAAATTCTTCAAAATGGTCTCATGTGCCTTATAACCTTGCATTGAACAGAAGAGGAACTTTGGTTTCGATATGTTCATTACGTGTTTTAGTTCATCTGCAAAAAGATTACAATAAGATGTTAAGGTTTGTCTCCATTAGGACTGGCCGCTGTGATCAAAATTCGTTTTGAAGGACTTTTTTTATATAAGAGGAGTAAACTAGCATGCGGGTAATTTGAGTATAAGTGACTACCACGCCCATGAACAACTGCAACACCAGGGGAATCGCAGATGCAATTTTATTACAAGTATACAACATTGTGTACCACCTTCATTAGAGGCCATTGGATCGTTCTGGCTCTATCGAAGTAGCTCTTTGCGATACTAAAGAGACCAAATAATCTGATGAATTCCCTCGGATGGAACTCAGAACGCAATTTTCAAGAAATATTTTTACGAACTAGTAACAAATGTAAAAACAATTTTTTTGACTACTTAAGATCACAAAGTTGAACATACACACGGACGTACATTTAAAAATACATACATGCATATATGTATATATATATAAACCCGGAAAAACATAAACCTACTACCTATATTTGTAATAAAAGTTAAATTGTAGCGTTAGCTTAAAGGGTAGATAAATACTTCAGAAATTTTTTAGGCTTTTTAAGCTTGAGTGTAGTGTTATTTTAAAGGTTAAACTTCTTCATTTTAAACTAAAAGTTACTTAGACCGCCAGGCAGACGGGCAGCTGCGTCAAAGTTGTGAGACTTCTGGTATTGCGGTTCGTGGTGGCAAGCGTGATGATTAAGGCCAATCCTCACTGCGACAGGGGAGGTCTATGTCCAGCTGTGGACTTTTGCTGGCAGACGATGAATAAGAAGAATTAATGATAAAATTATACGCTATTAATCATACCCTTAACATATCCGATATTAAAAGGCGTCATCACAGCTGCAGTGCAAGCTATTCCAATAACAGTGCACCAGTTTTCCAATCTTGACTCAGCACATATCCCCACAACGTCTCCCCTTTTCACGCCGATTCGAATTAACGAAACGGCAATGTTCATGGATGTTTGGACTATTTCGTTATACGTAAGTCTCTCATCTGTAGCACCATTAATCTGTTAACAATTATAATTATATTTTAATAATTATCATTTCTAAAAAAATATTACTTATTTAACGAAGAATTTCAAATAGCTGACCTACAACTCATGAGCTAAATAAGAGCGCATGTTTTATTCTTCTGCGGTTATTTACAATATCTTCATGACTAGATCCAAAAATAATTTCTTTAGTTACTTAAGATTATAATAAAGTTTAAGAGAATCATGTATCATTTATATCCTCCTGGTCTAGTAAAAAATTACTTTCTATTACTATTATTGAAATTTGACATGTATATAGATAAACAAATGGATGGTAACTATCCTATTAATTACGCGAATATACTATTCAATTATTTAATAGACGAGAATCCAGACGAGCGTGCGGCTTGTCTAATGGTAAGTGCTACAGTTCCTTCTGCGGTGCCATGTTTACTGATGGTATATCGAAGCGCTATGGTTCTTGTACAGTGGGGCTACAGTGGCTATCCGAGTACAGAACCAGAGCATAAAACCTATCCAACCGCAGAAAGGTATAAGGCAGGGTAATATTATATTCCCAAAACTCTTCGCCGCTGCATTGAAACACGTTTTCGTTTCGTTCGTTCTATTATTACACCGTATACAAGAATAGGAGCAGACACAATATAAATAATTATAGCTCTATTTTCATTTTATCAGCATAATCCAAAACCTTATAAAAATAATTAATAATAGATTGTTACAGTATTAAGATAAAAATAATATTCTATCGCCAACTAAGTATGGTTTTAGAAGAATAAAAACCACAAAAAATGCTCTCATAGATGTAACTACATTACATAGTTGACTATCTAGACCAAAATAAAAAAAAAATCTTACTGTATTTATGGAACTAAAAAAGACATTTATAACCGTCTCTGATGCAATGCTTGTTTGAAAGTTGGAAAAGGGCGGTATTAGGGAACCTCAACTAGATTTAGTGATATAGTACTTAAGAAACAAAAGCTAGAATAGGCGGTGATGTTAATAACGAACTTTCTAATAACCTTTGAGGTACCGCAAGGCAGTGTTCTAGGCCCTACCTTATTTCTTATGTATATTAATGACCTAGGCAATTTAAAACTTGATAATGGTAAAATGTATTCGTATGCTGATGATACTGCTATCGTTTACACCAGAAAATCGTGCGATGAAGTCTAAAATACAGCAGAACTTGGCTGTCAATGCTAAAATAAAATTGAAAATTAGCTCAAAATAAACTTGTTTACCTTATAAACAACACTAGTTTGCGTAATAATTGCACGTGTCTTACTGTAGAAAAAGTAGCTAGTAGATATGTAGTGGTATCAATTGACCAACCACTTACATGGCATTTATACATAAAAGCAACTAATAATAGATAAAGAAAACTTACTCGTATTTGAACCTTTAATGGCCTCAAGCATGTCGCGTTTTCAAATATATGCTGCATTAGCTCGATAGATTGTGACATATCCCAGTATAACAGTTTGGGGTGGTGCTACGAAAACGAAACTCCTACAATCATAACGTGGTCAACGATCTTTAATAAAGTTCATGTACATTAAATCATATAGATTCCCTACAGAAGAACTTTGATCAGTTTGGTAAAAGTGTTACCACACATTGGATCGATCGTCGATCGATGTCATTGATCGACGTCGTTTGATATCGATCGATTGGTGTAGTATCTTTAGATGATCGAGGGATACTGGCCAATGAAACGTCGTTCAATCATCGATTGACGTAGATCGATATTGTGGTTGTGGGCTCATCATCGATATCTTTCAAAATGTATTCGGAAAAGGACGCATTGTTGTTGGCCAGTATGCTATTGCTTTTATTATTATTACAAAGACGCAAATGCAGAAGACTCTGGATGCGACCGTTTTTAAGGTCAGAGATCGTTTATTTTATTTAGACGACATTTTAAGTAGCGGCCAGTGGAGCGGGGCGGGTTCTCAAATAATCAAGCAGCTTGATCGTTGGCTTATCCATTCTACTATAAATCGATGTCATCGATCTATCTGTGTGGTAGAAACTATCGATCGACGTCGACTTATAAATTCTACTATCGATCGTTGCCATCAATTGATTGCTGTGGTAGAAACTATCGATCGACGTCGACTAATGCATTCCAACATCGGTCGATGGCATCGGTCGATTGGTTTGGTAACACCCTAAGTTTTAGAAAGTTATACATTTTAAAGTTGTTAACACAAAATAAAATAACTTTCTACAACTTTAAAAGCAATAATAAACAAGGAAAATTTTTTGAATTAACTCTAGTCGAAACAAGATTTAGTGAAGTAGTAAAGTTGCAGCCTATTTACGTCCCACTGCTGGGCCCAGGCTTCCTCTCATTTTTTCTGAGAGGGTTTTAGGGCAAGGAAATGTCCGCCGCGCTGCCCCAATGCGTGTTGCCGAACTTCACATGTCTTCGAAATATTTTTTTCTTATTTCTCAGACATGCAGGCTTCCTCACGATGTTTTCCTTCACCGCCGAGCACGTGGTAAATCAGCACTTAAAATTGCAATTAACAATTTCATTGGTGCCGGCGGGGATCGAACCCGGGTTGCTCGAGTACTGTGAAGCTTACAGCGAGCGAAGCTTATAGCTAACAAAAAGCTAGACATTTATTCACTGAACTCTAATGAACTCAAAAAGAAAGTCACAGAATGGCTCCTCAAACTTAAGTATGATGAGGTCGAAGCATTATTAAATGTTATTAGATATATTTTACATAAGCACTAAAACACATACATACACACATACATACATAGACGCATAAATTCACACACGCAAACAAGCGCGCGAACCCATAAACTCGCACTCATAAACTTACACACTTATAAAAAACCCTCATGAACTAAATGTACGATTAGTTTCTTTTAGTTATTTTTTTTTAAATTTATTTTGTGTTTATTTAATTCTTGCTATAGAAGAGTGGGGCATCCTGCCGAATACATGTAGACAAACGAGGATCATCCTCACATGCTCTCATAATCGATGGCGCAAATATGAGTGTGCTACAAAATAAAGTACAAGACAATATAATAAGTGGATGGTTAGCAATTCGTCGCAAATATATGGTACGCTTCCCGATTATGTTTTTCTTAAAGATCCTATAAACAACAATGGTTGCCAAGTTACCACAGATACGACTAGAGTAAAACCTTTACTCTAGATCTGGCCAGTATTTTGTTGACCAATCCCTACATACGACCGTCCTCGGGCGTGTATCTTCATGAATTCCTGTAACAAACACTATTAATCCCCACTTCTTCCGCTCGTCTATCCTGAGTTGAATAGGCACATTGTCCCTATCTTTGGACATTTACACACACATACGCAAAACAATTACGTTTGACCTCACGCAAACTAACACTAGCTAAGGCGTCCGTTTGACCAGCCACCATCTCATAAAACAACGTGGACCGGACAACTGGCTCTCTACCCATCATCTTATATAACTCAGTGAGCGACAGCGTCCCTTTGACCAGTTATCATCTCATATCACAACATGGACCGGACAACTGGCTCTTTCCACTAAGCACACACAGACACATATTTTTTTTTACAAATTGCACGGCAATATTAGCATCGATAGAAGATATACGCTTTAACAACATAAACTTTCTTGTAAATATACTAACATCCTCAATCATACAATAATCGAAAGCGTGCGTCCTTTCAACCACACATGGACCGGACGGCACCTTTCTCTCAAGCCACATAAAACTTTCTCTCAAGCCCCATACACATACAACTGCAACCTAGTATTAATTTCATTCTTCTCCTGCATATTGGTGGTTTGTATGAAATAGCTGTGAAATCAGCCAAGTAATATATATAAAGACGGTGTATTGCTGTTAACAAAGTTTTTAATCGATATGGAGATCGCAAAGTTCCAGTAGTTTTGCGACTCACCTCCTGTATATGTTTGTTCTATGTTAAGCAACCATCAACATACAGACCAAGGTTCTTCACATGGGGAGAGAATGGTATGACGTTATTTTTAAACATAATTGATGGTAAGGTGGGAATATGATCTCCATTTCGAAGACCATGTGAGCAAATTGCTCGAAGAGGGTAGGGTCAAGAGTACTCGGATACCTAGACGTGCATGTATGAAGAAGATAATGAATCTGAAAGAAGCGAAAGAGATATGTAAGGATCGTGACACTTGGCGATCTGTTCTCTCTGGCTACCCCGTCAGGGATTGTGCGTGAAGATAAGTAAGGTGGGAATATCTAGTTTCGATAATAATCGTGGGCTACCAAAATTATGGTTTGGTATTTAGATTTGGCGATTATGCCATACAAAGTGGACCATTCTGAAATGTATTTCAAGTCATAATTTAATAATGACATATCATTAGAGATATTTGAGGGTTCCACTTGCACATATAACTGCAGATCATCGGCATACAGATGGTAAGAGCAATTGAGATTTGACGTGATGAGATTGATAAAAATTGTAAACAGAAAAGAGAGACTATACGGCCTTGAGGGACGCCAGTAGACACATTACACCAGTGAGATAGTATATGTCCAGTTCGCACGGCCTGTTGGTGCCCTCGAAGATATGATGAAAACCATTTCTGAGCTAAAGACGAGATATTCAAATGAGAAAGAAGAGCCAACAAGATATCATGATCAACAGAATTAAATGCGTTGGAAAAATTAATTAAGATGAGGACGGTAAGTTTTTCTTCTTCCATCCCCTCTCGGATATCTTTCGTCACCTAGAGAAGAGCAGTAATTGTAGAATGACCAGGGTAGAAACCCGACTGATAAGGGGAAAGAATATTATTTGAGAAAACAAAAGAATAAATCTGTTTATGAGCAACAGCTTCCAGAATGTTAGAGAGAAAAGGCGGGATGGAAATTGGTCTGAGATTGGATATAGCACTGCAATCCGTAGTTATAGGAATAGGAATAATAAAGGCTTTACGCCAGAGAATTGAGAAAGCACCATTCGTCAGCGAAAAGTTAATGATATGAGTTATCAT